ACACGGGGATAGAAAGTGCTGTACGGACAGATGTGATACTAAATATGAGAAGTGTTTGGACTCTTGAAGTACATGCCTGCAGCACAGGAAGTCAGGCGTGATTCACACTTATAGAAACATATGAGATTGCTTGTTTCAACTGAAGGGAATTAAATGAGTCACGACTAAAACTAAGCGTGCAGTCTAGGGTGCAAATGAAATAAAAATGGTTGAGTACCCAATTTACTTGGTACTAGTAGGGGGAAAAAACATTTTAAATTTTTCTATTATTCAGTTTGATACCTCACCACTTTTGCCTTCATTTATGAGGAATTATCGCAACATTACAATTACGCTAAATATCCAAAACATCTAAAAATGCTTGTTTGTCAGTTAAATGAACCATTAAAGCTAGCGCAGAAAGGTATGGTGTGTTTTTGTCTTCTATATTTTGCTTTTGATAATTACCATAACACTCATTTGCAGCATTAGCATGATAATGTGCTTTTACTCTACGCTGTTGGCAATAAACAAACGAAAAACTGCAAATCTGAATTCAAAAAAGTTTGAGAAAGCACACAATTCCACCTTTTGTCCAGACATCGTATCAAAGCCTCTTTTTGTGTGGTTCTATCAGACATTCAGCTCTGTGTGAGGGTAGATTCTGTGTCAGACCCCCGGCGGCTGACCTGAACAGTTTGAAGAACCCGTTTGCTTCAGAGATTCACAGGCTCTGCTCGTATGAGTCAACTTTGGCAGGGGGCTATATAGTGTGTGTGTGTGTGTGTGTGTGTGTGTGTGTGTGTGTGTGTGTGTGTGTGTGTGTGTGTGTGTGTGTGTGTGTGTGTGTGTGTGTGTGGGCAGGAGCTCGCAGAGCGGTCAAACGGACGGAACAAAGGTCTCTGAAAACAACCCGCAGCTTTCTATCAGCGGTCTATCATCACTACACTCACACACAGTATGGACAGATACAAACACACGTATACAAATATACGTTTACTGTGTGAGCAAAATTCACTGATAACGTGTTTGTTTTCCTGTACCAAATATATATTATGTGTATTTAGTCATTATTTATTGTACGACATAATGATTTGATGTTATGATGAGCATTAGTTTTTTCTCCAAAACCAATGGAATGAGGATTTACTCAACTGTTGTACTTTAGTACTACTTAAAGGTACATGTATTTGCAAATATATACTTCTAATCCTTTACAGAAGGAAATGTTGTACTTTTTATTCCACAACATTCAATTGACAGCATTAGGTGGTGTTATTATTAGAGTTTTCATATAAAATGTCAGATTAACCAATATATTATGATGTCATTTTATAGGCCTAGTTAACCAACTGTATATAAAATATTCAGATGTAAACATATATTTGTGGTTCCTTGCACAAAAAGCTAAAAATAATGTGGTTGCTAATCATTGACCCATAAAAAACTGTAACAAAAATTATCCTCTTGCATTAGGTAAGTATTAAAAAAAAAGATATCCATTATTGTGTTTTTCCATTAAAGAAACTTGCATTTGTTAAAAAATATGAATACTAAAGAATATTTAGTCGTGTGGTTTTGAACAGGACATAAGCTGGAAACACATTTAAAGGTGACCTATCATGCAAAATGCACTTTTGTTCGTCTTTTATACATGAACATGTGTCCCCGGTGTTCCAGGGAACTCACCAAGTGTCAGAAAACACAACCCTCTCTATTTTCCTCCATACCCATATCTCTTAAAAAGGGGCTGCAACAGATCTGATACAGACTGATCCAGATTTGAACACTTCTATGACGTCACAGAAGTGGCGCTACGGCTATTGGGCCAACTCGACCAATCAGGAGGAGACAGCCACGGACATTGCCGTTCGAAAGCGCTGGAGACGCTGTAGTACATATGCCAGGCCTGTAGATGGTGCTGTTCTCACAGAATCAGCCCATGCAAAGACAGTGTTAAATTGAGCGAAATCAGGAATGGCTAAAATGCATGATCTGTTTGGTATTTTGAAAAATAAAAGGTATAAATATGCCTTATAAGTATGGTCCTACACTATATTATTCAAATATAGCATGATAGGTCCACTTTAATTAAATGAAAGTTGAAATTAATATAAATCAAGGTAAGCTTTTTAGGGGAAGCAGTTATAGAAAAGTTAACATATTTAATATTCCCATAAAGAGAGCTTATTTAACGTTGCTGCCTCAAAGTAAATTTAACTAAATAAAGTGTGCACTGCAGCTAGAGGTAAAGTAGCTGGTGTAATATAATTATATATTTGAATGGTAATACTTTTCTACTTTTCCTTGACTTTTTTACACTGTAGATTAGAATCACTACTTTTTACTTTAGTCATAGCCCCAAATGTCCAGCATTGCTTATTATGTTATGTTCTTTGATCTTCACTGTTGTTTATTTGGATCGAGATTAGTTTTCCGCCAATGTCTTCTTATATCCTGACATATAAAAGAGATCAGAAGAAAATGCTTCCTCTATCACCATCTGTTGTATACCCAAGCGACCCATCTAGATATGAAATGGAATGCTGTCCCAAATAAAATCAGGCCTTTAAAATGCAGTTTAAATTTCCCATCATAAAGGTGAGGCAGTTTTGGGCGACAGCTGTCGTATATGTGCTTCTGCTTTCATACAACACAAGGGAATAGGAGGCAAGGAGACACTGGTGGCTAGGCTTCCATTACCTGCATTAGTGGCTTCAACCTTTCATGTCACATGATCTCCTTGAGACAAGATGACGAAATATTGGACTAGAGAGGGGCATATACAGGTTCATTTAATCTCAAAAACATGCTTTTAAACCCCTTTTCAAAACGTTCAATGTTCATTACCTGGGACTTAATAGCAGAGATGGCAAAAGTACACACATCCTTTACTCAAGTAGAAGTACAGATACTCGTGTTTAAAAATACTTTGGTAAAAGTAGAAGTACTGACGTTTTAATTGGTCCCTCTTCTTTAGAGAAGACCAGGAAATGAAGGATACAAGGATCGCGTTCAAATCAATAGGCACGCAATGACTCAAAATAATAATGATCACGCCACCAAACACACATTAAAACTACACACACACACACACACACACTCTNACCAGCCTGTTTGGAAGAAGTAGAAAGTACAGGTATTTGTGTTCAAAATGTAAGAAGAAAAAGTAAAAAGTCGTCAAAAAATAATTAGTGGAGTTAAGCACTGATACCAGAAAAATGTACTTAAGTACAGTAACAAAGTATTTGTACTCCACTACTTCCCACCTCTGCTTAATAGTAGGATTACCATAAAGCAAAAAGAATAGCATAAAACAGCATCCATGGTGGACGTGTGTTCTTGGTCTCAAAGTAAAAACTGTGCAAAACAACATGTTATTGTTCCTTCCTTTTGATATTTGTTCATCTTCCCACTGCCTCGCCTCTTGTGGGTTTCTGTACTGTGAGGCTTTGCTAAGAAGGATAGAAAGGCCAAATGTCGTTTTTCCATCAGCACATGTTTTCAACCATCTATAAAAGGTTTAGCTTTGTTTGTGCCAGAACAAGAGCAGTGTCCTCCTGTTTCGTGCCACCTGAAAATCCATTTCCACACAGGAATGTAACCTGGCAGCAATTTAAAATAAAGTGCAACCTATTCATCTTTCCTGCAACCGACTCATTTATTGATGTCGCCCTTAATCGGGTAATGATTTGTTTCAGGTGAGGTGATTCTTGTAGCAAATTTAATGATGCAAGATAATTAAAAACATTTTTAGCCTCTCTGACCCGGTCGGACTCAGCCGTGCGTCGATCGTTACTAAAACATGTTATGGAGCGGAGCGATGAAGTCCAACACATACAAAGCATTTTCAGGAATTCCAGCCAGGTTCAGATAATTAGAAAAGCTCAAGGATTGTGGGAAAATGTGTGTAATATAACACTCTCTTTGATGTAATGGTTCAGTAATAAGAACACATTATGCCTTTGAATATTTTCCTGACTTAGAGGCCAGATATCTTTAACCCTTGTGCTCACTAAGGACGTTTTTGACTTTAACAGTTTTAACATCCATTACAGCATATAATGATGTTATGATATTTGGCTTTCCCTCTAAAGCACTTTCTTTAAAACTGTGCTTTTTAATATCTCCTACCACAATGACCCATTTCCTAATGTTTGCCCTACGGGACGAATACATGTTATTTTCCTTGTTCCTTCAACAAAAAGCAGAAATAAAATAAAGAAGTTACATCTATTCTGCATTGCCTATGCCTATTTTATACAGATCTTCTTCTTATGGGTTTTGAGGGTTGTACCCCATAGATCTAGTCTCTTCATTTTGCCCTCAAAGTGTACCACATTGAAGCATGTGAGCATGCCCCCTGACCCCCATAGAGGATGTGAGGTCCACCCCCAATTGAAACATGTTCACATGGAATACTAAAGACATCTGTACACTTTTGTATGTATATATAACCTATGTGTATTTCAGTCAGACAACTCATGTGTTCTTAATATGTTTATTATAAGCAGCATATAGTTTGAGTTTGGCGTCTAGGCTCGGGCCTCATCACTCCACAGATTTACAAAGAACATTGAGTGATGATTAGATAACTATCCCCCGAGCCTACAGGTGGACGCTGAGGTGGAGCTGGGGTGGTGGTGGGTCAGGCAAGCAGCAGCAACATGAAACACAGCAGCAGGAACATGAACGTAGCAATAGCAAGTGAACACAGCAGCAGCAGCAGCAGCAGCATAGCTAGGCAGAGGCAGGAAGACCTGGCAGCTTAAATAGAGCGGCATGTTTAGGAGGAGAATGTGTTTGATTGGTTGTAAGAGGGACGAGGTGTGTCACCTGCTAATGTATCATCGGTGCTCGACTTGACTGCCTGAACTAGCTCGCAGGCTTCACCCCACATATTTCGGTTTTTCAATTGATTTGTCTATTGTAGAGAGTTTTCATTTTGGGGGGGTGGGGGGGTTTATAAAGATACACATTTACACACAACACACACAGAAACAAGGCTTTGGAGCTTTTACCTTCCACACAGGAGGGTCTGGCTCTGGTGGTGCCGGCGACCTGTCCGGGGAAACACGAACACTTGACGGTTTGAGAGCGCTCCTCAATCTTATTCTTATTACAGCAGCGATGGAGGGCCACCACCTCACACGTCCCCTGCTTCACCTGGTATGAGACTGAGAGAGAAAAAGGAAAAAAGAGAGGTGAGGGGGGGTTATTTGCTGGAAATTCATAGGCTTTTATGGCGGCTTATTGGTGTTGGTTGCTGTGAAAAATCTAATTTGAATTCATCTAAATGTGCGCCGCAAAATAACAATCAAACGTACACCGCAGCGGCTTCTCTGAGGATTAGGCAAATCCGCTGAATTATTTACTTTCGTATAAACTCTTCAATTTATTCCAGTCTCACACTCTTTGATTCATAAGTAAACACTTTTTAGTAATACTTAGCTTTTATTCTCACAGCAGTGCCCTCATTAACTTAGACACAGAGACATTGTGTGCAGAGTGGGGGGAGCTGTTGAAAAAATAATCACTTCTTTTGACTCCTTTCAGACATAACACCACCACTTGATCTAAGTAAAGAACAGACATAAACATTGTATGATTGTTCCCACTGGTAGGACACTTTAATCTGTATGGGTTCTGGCCATCACTGGGTAGCCTATAGCCTATATAGATGTGTACGTACATAAATGCGCATGTGCGTCACATTTGACATTTTATCTGTGTGTGTGTGTTCTTCTCTGTTTTTGTGTGTGTAATCCTGAAAGCTATAATTTATATGAGGATAATTGCTTTTCACCTGACACCTCCAACACACAAACAATATCTAATCTCCCGTGATTACCTTCACACTTCCCCGGGGACTTTGGTCTGGTTAATAATAAAACTCTCTTGACAGTAATGGGACAGAAGCCGGGCGCGCTCATATTAAAGTTAACACTAAACCAAAGCTGTAGCAAAATGTGTGTTTATGTGTGTGTGATGTTACTGACACAACATGCTTTCTCACACACACGTAGCCTTTTATATCTTAACATCACCTATTCTTGTTCAGACTCAACCGCCTGATGATAATGGGAAGATGATGTGTGAAAGGCTTATGTGTTTGGAAGTGTGTACAATGTGTATTCTAATATTTTACTAAGAATCCATGTACCTCTTAGAAGGAGGGTTTTTGAGGCCACCTGAAGCAGAAAACACGCCGACAACAAAAGCAGGGGGAAATGTTTAGTAAATCTAATCTTTGCTTATGGCTTCTGAACAGATTCCAGCCTCCTTATCTTGCCTCTCAGAGCTTGTTGTGCACTCCTGAGAGTCTCTGGCAGAGTTTCCCCGCGAGCACAGCAAACCCTGCTGGCGACATTACTACCTAGCTATAAGCCTCTTTACAGCGCTGGAAAAACCTTAGTTATACTGTACCATAAGCCCAGATTTCATTTATGTACGTGACTTTACCCAGACTCCAAAACTTTTCACGCTCAGCTGAATGAGCTTTGCAGGCAGACACCAACACATACACACACACACAGTGACAACAACACACACACTGTAGGGTTCCATTCTACAGGCCATGGCCCCTCTCATCCTTTCTGATTTAAAGTTTGTTTGTTCTCTTCTCCAGAGAGCCCCATCAATGATCCCAGGCTCTCTGAGGGCGCCCCTCCGCTATCATCCCTCCACTTTCATTTCCCCTCACTCCTCTGTCTCTGGCTCTCTTGAGGCTGGAGCAGCTGCCGGATTACCACCACACACACACACACACACACACACACACACACACACACACACACACACACACACACACACACACACACACACACACAAACAAACATATAGCCAATATCTTGTTGCAAGCAGAGCCAGCTTGTAACAACTGATAAAAATCTAGAATAGGCTTTATTACAATTGAACTGAACTCAATAGGACGAGAGCTATCAGCACAGCCTTGATTATAACCGTACAAATCCCAATTAAAGCTCCACAATGCAAATAAAACATTCAAACACAATCAAATTGCCTTTGTTTTCATCCAACATGTGCCCTCATTTTGTGTTACTCTGTACTGAAAATGAGTTCCCATGTAAGTGCAGAGATGGGTAAGACTGGTCAATCGGCTTCACCCCATCTCACAAAGAGGCAGCTTGTTAGTGGGCAGAATGAGAGAGAGAGGGGGAGTTATACGGCACGAGAAGAAGGACGAGCAACTCGCCTCCTGCTGGCATAATGAGGTCAGACGGTTCACAGGTCCTCTCTTGTTATTGCCTCCATCAGACCTGTTTGTATTTCAGAACTATAAAGCTCTGAGGATGTGTGTGAGCAGTGGGAGCTGGACTTTGTTGTCAAGGTTTGTGTGCTCATTTTAAACTTAATGAACTAAGCAGTATGAGGTAGACGCAGGCTGGTGTAATGTATGTGATGTTGAAAAGTCGGAGGACCTTTCTTGGGATTTCTTGTGGTTTACAGTTGACGCTTAAATGAGACAAAGAAAGCCCAAGGTGCTCTTTAAGAAAACATTATAACAGCTTTTCATTCATGGTCATAAGGAATTCATGTTGGGAGGAAATCATGCAATGCAGATGAAAAGGCTGTAAAGTGTGAGTTCAGACATGATGTCTGAGTGAGCATCTTAAAGCCTCAACAATCTATTCATTTCAGACGTGAGCTACTTTAATCTTAAATAAAACATCTGATCTCTGAATGTTATCGAATCTCACCTCTTAAAAGTATATAAATATGTTATGTATTCACTATATTGACTTTAGTTAGCAGTTTTGCCTGCTTCATGAGTGAAGTCAAGCGTACTTGACTGTAAAGAATTGCTGTAAATAACATTTCTATGAGTCACAGGGGTCTGAGTAAAGAATCTTGCTGTTAGCAATAATACAAGTTAGACACTAGCTTTTATACCAATGGCCTCCTCGACCTTCATTGTACTGCCTTTTGTGCTTTAATAATGTACGCTAGCATTTCCCCCATACAGAGGAGAGTTGATTTATGATACACAAACAATACTTTGTGAAAAATATGGTCAAAGTAGATGGAAATGTCAATAAGTGCAATAATTTACTGTGTGTATAAAAGTTTGTGAGCTTGTAAGTTAGGGCCCCTTCCAACGCAGAAATGTAAATCTTTGAAGTAGCAGCATGCTATGAGTTGTACCCTTAAGCAAGGTATGTATGTTATCGATCAATAGAGGTTAGAGCAATTCGGAGTTTTACTGCCAAAAGGTATTTTATGTAGGAGAAAGAAACTCAAGCCCACCCACTATCGTTGACCAGAAACAAGAGGTGAAAAGCTTTTACTTTTCTTGATAGCAAATGCTCCTCTAAGGCTTTCATAATGTAATGTTAATCACTTGTATGCACAATACACATATTTCCATTTGATATCTATGAAGAATACTAGTACAAAGATGTGGCTGGAACATTTTTAATATGACAGGAGCCTAAAGGAAGGCCAGCCGCTGAGAGTGTGTATCACAGCACGCTAACAATGCTAACATGCTGAAGTGTAGCTGAGTGGGAAGATGGCCCTCGGAACCGACATGTAACAGACCCCCCCATGCCTCCATAGGAGCGAGACGCATAGACTTCATAGTTGTCCAATTAAGTTGTTTTTTTGTGTCTCTTTAGCCATTAGCATCTCTTTAAGGTTTACAATTTTTTTTTTTTGTGTCTCTTTGCATTTGTTTGCGTCTCTTAGTAGTTGTTTATTGTTTCTTTTTGGTCATTCTGAGTCTCTTCCTAGTTTGTAATAGGGGGCGTCGGACACTCTGAGCCCTTGGGTCTGTGCCCGGTTGAACAGCATTATGTACGTAGGGTCCAAAAAGATTGAATCAAAATAGTATAAAACAGAGGGAAGTTTGAAACATCAGAAAAGAGCTGCAGCTCGACTGTAATCACTAAGTTTTGTGTTCTCTCCACCTCTTCTGCGTCTCACCCCTCATTTGCTTCAGATTCATGTGTTGAGCAGTCAGCCTGCAGCTATATATGCATAATAGCAGTGTATCTAATGTCTCAATGTTGCCTTTAAACCATTCTGTTATGGCCATCTCAATGTAATACAGCCCAGCACATGCTGAGATGAAAAGACTTCTCAAGCATGGCTAAATGCTTTTATTCCCGCAGCAGGCAAAAGGGAGGTGGAGTGGTGTGGGAGGTGAGGTGGCTGTGGGGGGGGGGGCAGGCAACAAACCGAGGTACCCTGAACTGATGGGTTAGCCGGGCGATTGATGTATTCTGACAGACACAGGCGAGCTGGAGCATCATGCAATTTATCAAAAAGCTGTGTCTCTCCCCCGTCAATACATGACAGGCATGTCTGCGGCTGAAGGGCCAGATCTCAGAAAATCTGCCAAGGTGGGGGGGTGACACACTGTAGGAACACAAAGGCACGCCTCAAAAGATTACAGTGATAAGATGTGTTTAACAACGTGGAAAACTAGACATCTTCCCAAAGCCTACACAAATCAACCTATTTTGTTTTTACACCTAGCAGAGGTGGAATGTAATAAAGTACATTTACTCAAGTATTGTATTTAAGTACTATTTTGACATACCAGTACTTTACTTGAGTATTTCTATGTCATGCTTCATATAATTCTACTCTTCAACATTTTGGAGGAAATATTGTACTTTTACTCCACTATTTATTTAAAGAAGCCCTTTAATGCTAATTTTCAGTTCACATTTGAATTGTGTGCCTCTACTGTGACATGTCTCCATGCTTTAATGTTTAAAAAGCTCTTTATTTTTCTCATACTGCCTGTGCTGCAGCACCTCTGTTCACCCTCTGTCTGAAACCAGAGCGCAGTCTACTCTGATTGGTTAGCTTGCTGGCTCTGTTGCGATTAGTCAACCGCTTAGAGATGTCCCGCCCCTCAGCCTATCATATAGAATGTGTTAAGGCCCAGATACACCGGCCCGAAATCGGCACTAAATGGGAGTCGGGCCGAACATGAGCGTGGGCACGCCCTATTCGGAGTGGTGTGCGCCGCACCGTCGGGTCTTTTCTGCCGACCTGACGTCTTTTCTTGCCGATTCAACATGTTGAATCGGCGTCGGGAACACCACCGGAAGTCGGACAAAGGGATAACAATGATTGGCTGTTCAGCTAGCGAATCAGTGCATGAGAAGCGTTAACGGAAGTGAGGGAGGTAAACAAATGATTTAAAATGGAAGATGGAACACACACGGACGGCTATTTCACCTCATCGGTTTATAGAGCTCCTGTTCGTTCATGTTTTCAATGGACGAGAGTGAAAATGGAAAGAAAAACGCTATTTGTTGTTTGTTTATATAACGGAGTCTGTTCTTCTTCTCTGTTTTCCGGTTGTTCCGGTTGTTGCCTCTTTTGAATGATGAATACACACTACCGCCACCTGCTGGTAAGGAGAGTTATTGCCACTCATGCATACGCGCAGTTCATACGTGCTCGGCTTGGATTTGCGGTGTGTTCCAGTGCGCGAAGTCGGCAAATACGCAGGAGAGTCCGGCGACGCAACAGTCGGTGACGGCGTCGGCGACTTCTCAGGTGACTGGCCGGTGTATCTGGGCCTTAAGCTTGTCACTCAGAGTAACCTACAGTTAATTTAGCTGCTGGAGAAGAAAGATCGAGGGGGGGAGGGGGGGAGAGAGCAGTGGTTGATGGGCCATTAGTTGTGTAAATACACAGCTGAGAGCTGCCGTTTCATTCAGACTAGTTTAAAAAACGG